CTGGTGCTGGCGGCTGGCCCTGGAGCTGGTGCTGGTGCTGGCGGCTGGCCCTGGTGCTGGTGCTGGTGCTGGCGGCTGGCCCTGGAGCTGGTGCTGGTGCTGGCGGCTGGCCCTGGAGCTGGTGCTGGTGCTGGCGGCTGGCCCTGGAGCTGGTGCTGGTGCTGGCGGCTGGCCCTGGAGCTGGTGCTGGTGCTGGCGGCTGGCCCTGGTGCTGGTGCTGGTGCTGGCGGCTGGCCCTGGTGCTGGTGCTGGTGCTGGCGGCTGGCCCTGGTGCCTGGTGCCTGGTGCTGATGGGGCGCGACGGGTGGGACGAGCTGGAGAAGGGCTACAGGCTGGGCGGGATCTGACGGTAGGAGGCGCGCAAGCGCTGGTGCGATCGCCGGTGCTCTGGCGGTGATCGCTGGTTTTCCGCCGCCACTCCCTTCCCCCTTTTCCTCTCTCCCCCACAGCATTCCGCCGCCACTCCCTTCCCCCTTTCCCTCTCCCCCCCACAGCGTTCCGCTGCCACTCCCTTCCCCTTTTCCCTCTCCCCCCCACAGCGACCGCCGCTGCACACGCGAACAGCCGCGACTGGGGGGTGACGGGCATGGGGCGCGAGTAATGCGACGGGCAGAGTGGCAGCGGGCTACGGTGCTCCGGGGCGACGGGAAGCAGGGCGGGGTTCGAGTGGCGTACGGGCGACGGGTGGGGTGCGGGTGGCGTACAGGCGACGGGCAGGGTGCGGGTTGCGGCGAGCGGAACGGGGGGACGTAACGGGTGGCGCGACGCGACGGCGGGGCCCGCGCGGGTCCGGATCAACGAGAACGAGGGCCCGCGGGGGTCCTTAACTAGCGCAAGAACGGGGCCCGCAGGGGGCCCTTAACTAGCACAAGATCGGGGCCCGCGCGGGCCCTTAACTAGCGCGAGAACGGGGCCCGCGCGGGCCCTTAACTAGCGCGAGAACGGGGCCCGCGCGGGCCCTTAGCTAGCGCGAGAACGGGGCCCGCGGGGGGTCCTTAGGCTAGCGCGAGAATGGGGCCCGTGGGGAGCCGCGTTACGATACGAATGGGGCGACGGAGCACGGGGCGACGGGCTAACGGAGCGCGGGGCGGTGGGCCCATGTGAGAATCGACTGGCTCTATACCATGTTACGATGCGATCTTAACTGGTAACCGGATTTAAGGAGGGCCTAGGCTTAGTAGCCTAGGCCAAGCTATTGTCGAGGTCAAGGCCAAGGGAGTTTCGATAGAAATTGACCAAACAAGTTTTGGCTTCACTAAAGCAAAGCATACAAGATATAGTCGAGAAACACAAGCAAGAGGTGCACCACCAACAGCAAAGAACAATAACTACAGTAACTACAGCAAGCAGGATATATCTTAAATATAACTTTGACACCTCGTCTATAGTCGAAATAAGCAGCAGCACTTAGCAGATCTGGAAGCAGTGTTTAAGATTTTAGACGAGGACCGACTACTGACCAAGGGTTCCAAGTACGAGTTTTTTCAGGACAGGTTAGGGTTTTTGGGGCACGTTATTTCGGAGGCTGGCGTCGAGATTGACCCAAAGAAGCTGGACAAATATCACCCAACAAATATCACGGAGTTGCAGAGTTTTTTAGGGTTCATTAATCATGTGCGTTGGTTCGTTCGCGACATGGCGCGGTTTACGGCCCCACTGACGGATTTGCTACGGAAGAGGATCGCTTTTACGTGGGGGAAGAAAGAGCATGTTGCCTTTTTTGCCCTGAAAAATGTTCTTTGCTCACCGCCCGTTCTGCGCATTGCCGACCCACACCGCCCATTCGAAGTAGTTACAGACACCAGCGACATCGCCATCGAAGCTGTACTGCTACAGGAATTTGGCAACGGCCTACACCCCATCGCATATGAGTCACGAATATTGCATCTGCCTGAGAAAAAGTACCCGTTACACGACCGCGACATGCTCGCGATCGTGCATGCGTTCAAGGTCTGGCGCTGTTACTTGACCGGCGCAGACGTGACAGTACGGACAGACCACAAATCTCTACAGTACTTCCACGCACAGCCCCACCTCAACCCACGACAGGTTCGCTGGCTCGATTTCCTCAAGTCAATTTTTCATTACACGATCACCTACAAGAAGGGGGCATCCAACATCGCCGACGCACTGACCCGCCCACTGCCCAAATCCACGCCATACTACTTGCCCAGACCAGCCCACTACTTACAGGACTATTCACCCACGGTTATGAGACAGAACCATTCTTCACCGGAGGCAACTCGCAGCAGTTCGCAGCAGCAAAGGGGATTTATTACGTAAAAGCCAGCACCGATCGCATCTGGGTACCGGGCTACACTTTACTAAGGGAGTTGATACTACGGGAGGCACACGACGGGGTTACCTCAGGTGATTTCGGAGTAGAGAAAACACGGCAGCAGCTGCAGCGGTATTATCACTGGCCCGAGATGATGTCCGATATGCAACGATACGTGGCATCGTGTCCCACCTGCCAACTCATGAAATCATCACGGAAGCGGCCGGCAGGACAATTGCAGCCGATACCACCCCCAGAGCGGGAATGACGCTCGTCACGGGGGTACCGGCTGGAGCAAGTGGGAATGACGCGATCCTGGTCGTCGTCGATTGTCTGACGAAGATGGCACATTTTGCAGTCTGCAAGAAATCAATCACAGCCGAAGAAACAGCCCGCCTCTTCATCGCCACTGTCGTTCGACTACACGGGATACCAGCGGCGATCATCAGCGACCGCGACACTAAATTCACCAGCAACTTCTGGAGGAACCTGTGGTAGCATTTCGTCACACGACTACAGTTCAGCTCATCGTACCACCGTGAAACTGACGGACAGACAGAACGGACAAACCAGACCATGGAGCAATTAATCCGAGCCACGTGCGACGACCCGACCACGTGGGAACAGCAACTGCCACTCATCGAATTCGCATACAACAACTCGCCATCCACCACGACCCAACAATCACCGTTTTACCTGAACTACGGACAAGACCCTACAGTACCCATGACCTCGAATTCCGACAACCCAGTACTACGAGCGCAACAGTTCGCAGAAATCGTACATGTAGCACGGACCCGAGCAGCAGACGCAATAAAAAAATCGAACATCATCGCTAAACGCAACGCTGACCGCCACCGACGCCCCGTCACTTATCAACCCGACGACCTCGTACTCCTCGACACCCAAAACCTCCTCGTTCCCATTACCCCGAAACTCCACCCTCGATATTGTGGGCCATTTTGTATCAGCCACATAATCACCCCTGTCACCGCCCACCTCCTCCTCCCTGCTTACTGGTACGTCAGCCCGTCATTCCACGCCAGCCTTCTCCGCCCATACGTCCCATCCACCAGCCAACTGCCTCGCAACCGCCCAAACAGATTAACCCGACCGCCAACAGGGCCAATCATCACGCCCAAAAAAATACTGAGCCACCGAGTTCGTGACCCACGAGGAGCCCGCAGAATCGAACTTCTAATCCGCGGGAAAGATCGCACGCCCATCGAAGATAACTGGGCCCCCCTGAATAGAATTGAGAACCACCCTGTCCTCACCGAGTATCTTCGCAGCCGCAATTTCCGGGATGTACACGCGCTTTCGTATGGAGGGCCTCCTTAGGGGGGTGGTGTAGTGTAAGGAAAATTCATTTTTCTTACTTTGCGTCCCTGCTCAGCTCGTACATCACTGTTCCCGCCAAGAACTCTCAACAGTGCACCGTTACCACCCGCGACACTCGCATCGACCACTGTTCCCGCCACTGTTCACGACACGACCCAACCTCACGATTCGGTTGGTAACCTGCGATCCGGACCTCCGCCTTGACAATTCCTAGCCTCGGCGCTAGGCCCGCCGTAGCGCACCCCATTTCACACATTACCGTTACCACTGTAGCTTCGCTATATATTCTTCGCTCATACCTTCGCTCAATGTACTGTTTTGCTTCGAGTGCAATTCTCGCTCGCTCGCTCAATTGCACTCGTAACAACTAGTAACAAACTCAAAACACTTTTATAACTCAACGTATCCCAGGGAATGTACCTAGTGGCGGACCTATCGAAGGTTGGTGCGTGCTTCGAGTTTCCCCAAGGAGAGGATGTGCCGAGCGTCAACCTGCTCAGAGCAGGGTGCGTTCTTGATTCTCACGTCGCGCTGCTGCTTCCCCCTACCTCGCGCCGCCGAGCTGTAAATCGCACAACGCTCCCCTCCGAGTCGCCCTACAGGGCTGCTCATTTCGTCGCGAAAAGGCGTGCGGTGTGGCCCCTGGCCAATCAGAGGGCCGCTGAAGTCGCCGAGCGATATGTTCATCGCGAATGCGTCGCGCACATGTAGTTTCCAGGTTGGCGCGCCAGCCCCCCCACCACCTGGGTTTCGCCGCGGCGTTGCTCGGCGGAGCGATAAGGCGGGCGGTGTGTGGCCGGGCGATGGGGGAGGCGGCGGAGCAGATGTGGGCGGTTCGGTGGGTGCGTTGTTCCGCCTCAGCGTCCGCCACTCCGCGACCCTCACGCCACCCAGCGGAATCAGGAAATGCGCTGGGCTTCACGCGAGCGCAGAACAGCGAGTCGCTGTTGAGAGGAAGTGGGGAGAGGCGAGGGGATGGGAGGGGCGTTTAAAGGAGACGCGTGCGGCGAGGCGAGCAACGACGCCTCGTTTCTCATCGCGTGGCGCCCCTTCCCACCGTCGCATCCACCGAGCCTTCCCGCCTGCCGCCAACTCCTGCTGCTGCCGCTACCCACTGCGCTCGTCTTCTGTCGCTCACTCGCTCAACCACTGTGAGAGCAGCGACGGCGCGTGTGGCGCGGCGAGAGCGCGGCTGTGCGAGAGGGCGCGAGGAGTGGCGAGAGCGCGAGGGCGTTGCAAGAGAGGCATGGCTTGGCGCGAGGAGTGGCGAGAGCGCGAGGGCGGACGAGAGTGACGCTCGCGTTGGGAGAGAGGCATGGCGTGGAGCGAGGAGCGCGACGAGTGGGCTATCGCTGGCAGCGAGGGCGACGCGATGCGGCGAATGGGGCAGCTGGCCCTGGCGGACGTGACTCGCCTGCTGCTGGACGGCGATGCGGGTGAGGGGAAGGCGGGTGACATGAGGGGAGGGAACAGCGATGGAGGAGCAGCTGAGGGCGACGAAGGGAGAAAGGAAGGCGGGCAGTGGCATGAAGGCGAGGTACGAGGAGGAGGCGGAAGGTGCAAGGAAGGCGAAGAGGGACAGCAGGGCGAGCAGGCGCCATGGGCGGGTGGGAGCACAGCTTGGCAGGCAGCAGCCACAGCACCCAGTCACAGCAACGATCGTGCTGTTCTTGGTGCTGCCAGTGCCGATGCCAGCGCTGATTCATATAGTCCCTCTACCGCCCCCGCTGCCCCTGCTGCTGCCGCCACTGCCCCTACTGCCGCGGATCCAGACTCTGCTGCCGCTGCCTCGAGTGCCACTGCTCTCCCCATCGCTGCTCATGCTGCCCACGGGAGCAACCAAGCCACTGTGGCCGGCACGGAGCGCGCTGCTGCAGGGGTGGAGGGCATGGCAGCAGCAGGTGGAGCGGACGACTGGCTGCACGTGCTGCACGACGACGCCCACTGGGACCTGCTCCCTCCCTTCTCCCTGCCGCCCCTCGCCCTCCCTCCTCTGCATCTGCCCGCCTGCCCTACCATGCATGCCCCTCCAACGCACCCTACCGTTCACAACCGCCTGGGGGCGGGGCAGCGGGGGAGTGCAGGCGAGGGCGCCGTGGGAGCGGCGGACCTGTCTCAGATCGGCTCGTGCGGCGACCTGGTGGCCGCCGCTGGGGGCGCCCCCGCGCTGCCCGCCAGCCCTGGCCTCGGCACCGCGTGCTGCAGCCCCGACGGCGCTGCGTGCGGGTCGGGCGTGTGGCACGCCCTGGGGGCGCGCCTGGGCTCTGGGCTGCCCAGCGACGCCAGTGGCAGTGCTGGCGCCGGAGGCATGGGCCGTGGCACGCGGGCGAGGAGTGCTGCTGCTGGCGGCAGTGGCAGTGGCAGTGGGAGAGGCGGGGGCGATGCGGAGGGAGTGGCGCGTGGCAGCGTGGCAGCAGAGGCGATGAGCTGCCGGGAGAGGGCAGCAGCAGCATCAGTGGAGCCAGTTGGAGGTGGAGACGAGACGGGGGAGGGCGTGGAGGGTGGGGAGCAGGGGGTGGGGGGTTGGGCGGTGGGCAAGAGCGAGGTGGAGGGGCCGTTCGCTGCGGCCCTTGTGACGTGCGTCCACTGCTCCTCGCTGCTTCAGGTCTGCACCCTCCTTCGATTCTCTCCTTTCCGATTGTTCTTTCCTTCACCTTGTCTTTCTTTCCGTGCCTCATATTCTCATGCCGCTGCCCCCATGGCCTCATCACGTGGCTGACCATCATCGCCCCGTCCCCATCGCTCTCGCACCCTCTCAGGTGGACATGCCGGCCGCCATCCCCGCTGCGGCCATCTGCACGCTCTCCTGCGGCCACTGCTCCGCGCTCCTCGCGCTGCCCTCCAACGCCCTGCCCGCCATCGCTCGCACGCGCTGCGCTCGCCCGCTCACACCGCCTCATGGCGCCGGGGTGCACGTGGCATCTGCCGCTGCTAGTGGGGGGGCGACTGGGGCCCACAGAGGAGCGCTCAGCAATGACGCGCCGCCAGGGGCGCTCGCCCCGCTGCCTGCTGGGCGCACTGTGCACGCGTGCGGTGAGGCGCTGGCAGCGCGTGTGGAGTCCGTGGAGTGGTGCGACGGCAGCCCCACAGCGGGTGACAGCGCTGGGCTGGCACGCACACCGCGCCGTGTGCTGCCTGCTGTGCCCTGTGGGGCGATAGCATCGGTGGGGAGTGGCAAGCGCGGCCAGCTGGCTGTTGCTGGGGAGATGGCGCTGCAGGAGGGCATGCGCCATGAGGTACGTGCCTGGTGGACGCCTGAGTGTTGCCTTTCGCACTCCTCATCCTCCTCCCCTTCCCCTTCCTCATCTCTCTCTCTCTACTGTCAGACCCACCATCTTTCCCTTCTTTGTTGATTCCTTGCCAATCGTTCTCATCTGCCCCTCTTCCCACCCCCCCGGCAGCCACTCTTCCCACGCATGCACCTGCCCGCTGCGCTGCGCTGTGCCCCCGGGCCATCGCACCCCTCCCTGCCGCTCACGGCGGCCCACCTCACCGTCGCTGCTGACTCGCAAGAGGCGGCACCGGCCAGCGATGGAGGGGTGGGTGGGGCGGGGAGTGCGGCGGAGAGCAAGAGGGCGCAGCGGGCGCTGAGGAAGCGCAAGCGAGCCGCCACTCTCACTGGTACGCCCACCCGCTACTCTCACTGGTACGCCCACCCGCTACTCTCACTGGTACGCCCACCCGCCACTCTCACTGGTACGCCCACCCACTACTCTCACTGGTACGCCCACCCGCTACTCTCACTGGTACGCCCACCCGCTACTCTCACTGGTATGCCCACCCGCTACTCTCACTGGTACGCCCACCCGCTACTCTCACTGGTACGCCCACCCGCCACTCTCACTGGTACGCCCACCCGCCACTCTCACTGGTACGCCCACCCGCTACTCTCACTGGTACGCCCACCCGCCACTCTCACTGGTACGCCCACCCGCCACTCTCACTGGTACGCCCACCCGCCACTCTCACTGGTACGCCCACCCGCCACTCTCACTGGTACGCCCACCCGCCACTCTCACTGGTACGCCCACCCGCTACTCTCACTGGTACGCCCACCCGCTACTCTCACTGGTACGCCCACCCGCTACTCTCACTGGTACGCCCACCCGCCACTCTCACTGGTACGCCCACCCGCCACTCTCACTGGTACGCCCACCCGCTACTCTCACTGGTACGCCCACCCGCCACTCTCACTGGTGCGCCCACCCGCCACTCTCACTGGTACGCCCACCCGCTACTCTCACTGGTACGCCCACCCGCCACTCTCACTGGTACGCCCACCCGCCACTCTCACTGGTACGCCCACCCGCCACTCTCACTGGTACGCCCACCCGCCACTCTCACTGGTAAGCCCACCCGCCACTCTCACTGGTACGCCCACCCGCTACTCTCACTGGTATGCCCACCCGCCACTCTCACTGGTACGCCCACCCGCTACTCTCACTGGTACGCCCACCCGCTACTCTCACTGGTACGCCCACCCGCCACTCTCACTGGTACGCCCACCCGCCACTCTCACTGGTACGCCCACCCGCTACTCTCACTGGTACGCCCACCCGCTACTCTCACTGGTACGCCCACCTGCTACTCTCACTGGTACGCCCACCCGCTACTCTCACTGGTACGCCCACCCGCCACTCTCACTGGTACGCCCACCCGCCACTCTCACTGGTACGCCCACCCGCTACTCTCACTGGTACGCCCACCCGCTACTCTCACTGGTACGCCCACCCGCTACTCTCACTGGTACGCCCACCCGCTACTCTCACTGGTACGCCCACCCGCTACTCTCACTGGTACGCCCACCCGCTACTCTCACTGGTACGCCCACCCGCTACTCTCACTGGTACGCCCACCCGCTACTCTCACTGGTACGCCCAACCGCTACTCTTGCTCGTGCCTCTTTCTCCCATCTGCACGCTCGAGCAGCTCGTGCTCACTCCCCCTCGCTGCATGCCTCGGCCCGCCCGGTGTACCCATTCATCGCATGCCATGTGCACCCTCTCATGGCATGGCAGGGTGTAAAGCAGTGGCGAGGGAGGGGTCAGAGGATGTGGGTGATGGCAGCGGGGAGGAGGAGAGGCGCAGGGGGGGAGAGGCGAGGGGTGGCAGGGCAAGCAGCAAGGCGGCAGGGAGGGAGGGAGGAGCCGCTGTCAAGAGGCATCGCAAGGCGTCCACCTACAACCTCTTCATCCGGTGGGTGCTCTGCTGCTCTTGCTCCATCCCTCCTCTGCATTCTCTCCACGTGACTGAAACCTGCTCTGCTCCGTCCTGTCTCTGCCTGTCCCTCCCGTGCCTCTCTCGCCGCGTGTCCGCCGCCCCGCCGTGCCGTGCACAGGGATGAGATGATGCGCCTGCGGGCGGTCAACCCGGACATGGACCACCGCGAGGCCTTCAAGGAGGCCGCCAGGCGGGTGGGTGTTGGTGGTGGGTGCACACACCTGTTGTGTGGAGCCGTGTGCTGTGCATGGAGCTGTTGTGTGGAGCCGTGTGCTGTGCATGGAGCTGTTGTGTGGAGCCGTGTGCTGTGCATGGAGCTGTTGTGTCCGCATCGTATCAATGGCTGGCAAAGAGTGCTTTCCGCATTGTATCTCATGGTGGTTCTTCTCCCCACTGCTTCACATCGCCCCTCTCCGCGCTGACATGGCCCTCCCCTCACATGCCGCCCTGCCATGCTCGCGGCTGTGCAGTGGGGCAGTGCAGCGGAGAACGTGCGCGGCTCACATGCGCTCGCAGCAGCAGCCAGGGCCAGGGCGCTGCTGCTCTACCCCATGCACGCCCCCCCCATGCACGCCCCCCCCATGCACGCCGCCCCCATGCACGCGCCCCCCATGCACGCCGCCCCCATGCACGCGCCCCCCATGCACGCCGCCCCCATGCACGCGCCCCCCATGCACGCCCACGCCACACCCTGCATGCCATCCGCTGCTGCTGCCACTGCGGCTCCTCTGCCTGGCACACGGGTGGAAGCAGCGGTGGAGGGTGGGGGGATGGCGGGGCAGCAGCGTGTGCGGGAGGGGGGGCAGGGAGGCTGTGAGGGGGGCGAGGCGCATGGTGGCAGTGTGGGCTTGGTGGCAGGGGTGCGTGGTGCAGTCAGGGAAGGGCGGTGGGTGGTGTGGGGTGAGCAAGGGGCGGGCGGGGCAGGGGCAGGTGAGGTGGCAGCAGCGGCAGAGAGGGTGGTGGCGGGGTGGTGGGGCGCTGGCTGTGGCATGGACAGGGGGGCACGCAGTGATGGGTGGGGGGAGGGCGGCCATGTTCATGGACTGGGGTGTGTGCCCCTGGAGATGGGGAGGGGGAGGCATGGAAGCGGTTTGAGCAATATGGTGGGCGAGAGACATATGCAGGCAGGCGGGTGGCACATGGAGCAGAGGGAGGAGCAGGCAGGCGGTGTGGCGCACGGGCTGGCAGGCGAGGCAGCAGCAGCCTGTCCCCTGGAGCAGCATGTGTGGGAGGTGGAGCGCAGTGAGCAGCAGCAGGCGCCACCGGTGCTGCACAGCGATGCGTACCGCCGGCTAGCTGCAGGCATCAGCAGCAAGCTCATGTCATCCTGACTTGCACGAAACACGTGGATGTCAGGGCCTATTACGGTATTGGTTCAGGGCACTCTGAGCCATCACACTTGGTCCATAGAGTAGTCATGAATTTCAGACTTGAGTTTTGCAAAAGTCTTATATTCATACTACCGTAAATTTTCGCTTTGCTGATGTTTATACACTTGTTCAAGTTGGACTAAATCTTCTACGGTAGAACAGAAACAATGAATTTAGACACTACACACCGAGTCCTCGCCAATTTCACGCCCTGCAACTCCTTTCGGGAAGCGCCCCGAACCCGATTCTGGCTTGACCAGTGAAACTCCCAGAATTTGAAGGCTATGAATGTGTCAATCAAGTGTCGAGATGTAAGCAAACTCCCGCAGTGAGATCGCAGTGCATCGGTTGAAGTTCTATTGAGGCCCACTTTTTGTTCAGCTCTAACTCGTCTGAGAAGTCTGAAACGTACCCTCTTTAAAACGACTGTCGTCCTAACTACCTTTAGGAATATATTTGCTGAGCAGGGTGAAGTTGGCCCTAGTGAAGTTGGCGAGGACTCGGAGTACCTATCAAGAGTCTAATCACAAGTGCCATCACTACCCTCCCCACCACTCGGTTTGTGTGGGCAATGCTGGTCGCTAAAAAAAGAGACGTGCTGCGGGAGTTTCAGAATTGGCTGGTGCTGGTAGAGCGGCAGGCGAAGAAGTCGGTGCTGATGCTCCGCTAAGACCGAGGAGGGGAGCTCATCGAGGAGTTTACTAACTTCATCGACGGAAAGGGCATCGTCCACGACCTGACGTGCCCATACACTCCACAGCAGAACGGCAGGGCTGAGCGGGAGATGCGCACGGCCGTCGAGTCTGTGGGGACGATGCTGCTGCACATGGGCGAGCAACACCACTGGTGGCACCTCGCCCTACGACAGGCCGTCTGGGTGCGCAACGGCTTGGAGCGGTCGACGCCGCCACCGGGGATGACGCAGTGCCTACTGCTGACTGGGAAGAAGCCAGACCTCACGCTGGCGTGGGTGTAGGGCTGCATGGTGCAGTTCATGGTTCTCGAGCAGCAGTGCGGTGGGAAGCTGGCACCGAAGGCTCGCTGGGGGCTTCACCTAGGCGTGTCGCCGGAGAGTATGGGCTGGGATGTGCTAGACTTGACTGACAATATGGTGGTCACGTCGGTCGATGTGATCTTCTACGAGACGCCGTCGCTGGAGGTGTGGAAGGCGAAGTATGGGCCGGCGTCGGGGCGGACACAGGCACACCCGCCGACGGACACCTCGACGGCGACGGTCCCGCTGCTTGCCGAAGTTGACGAGCCTGCTGATCCAGACGTCGAGAAAGTTCTTCCTCCGCCCCCCGTTCTTGCTCCACCCACCCCCGTCGCAGATCGACCTACATCGACACCTGCGTCGACCACTGGCGATGAGGGGAGCCTTGAGGCGTCCCCTGTGGCCGACAGGCGCCAAGCTCGTCGACAAGGACGAGAAGCCGTCGATGACAAGGGAGCAGCAGACAGGGGAGCCGGCCGAACAGGAGGCAGCAGCAGGAGTGCAGTCGACAAGGGAGCAGCAGACGGGACACTCGATAGGGGAGCTGTAAACGAAAGAGCTGGTCGACGATGAAAACAGTGACGAGGAAAGGGAACTGTCGGTAGAAGAAGAATCCAGCGACAGCGACGTGGTGGAGGTTCCGGTGAGAAGCCTGAGCTGCGACGCTCAGGTCGAACTCGGAGGCCCCAAAGTGGCTGCGCTACCACGCCTACCTGCCACCGGCTGCCTCCACCACGGTGTACGACGACCCCCACAATGACCTGCTGTACGACGACGCCGAAGCTGATGTCGACCTGCCGAAGCTCAACCACGACGTGCATGCCGACCCCGAACACCGCTGGGACATCGCAACGATGACAGTAAAGAAGGCGCTGGCGAGCTGGAAGGGTGAGGCGGTGAAGGCCGCCATGGACGAGGAGATCCGCTGTCTCATCGGTATGGGCTTCACGCAGGTGCACGGCGCCGACTACGACGAGACGTACTCGCCGGTTAGCAGCTACATCATGCTGAGGATCTTCCTCAGCATCGTCGCCGTCCTCGACCTCAACCTGATGCAACTCGACATGAAGAACGCTTTCCTGCAGAGTAAGCTCGACTGGGTGCTGTACATGTGCCAGCCGGACTACTTCGACGACGGGACCGACCGGGTGTGCAAGCTGCTGAAAAGCCTCTACGGGCTGAAGCAGTCGCCGCTGCTGGTGTACAGAGCTTTCAACTGTGTGCTGCTGGGCGCTGGCTGGAAGAAGAGCCAGGTCAACACAGCGTTTTACTTCAAGCCTCTACGGGCTGAAGCAGTCACCGCTGCTGTGGTACAGAGCTTTCAACGGTGTGCTGCTGGGCGCTGGCTGGAAGAAGAGCCAGGTTAATATGGCGCTCTACTTCAAGACCGGCGACGTGAGAGCTCGACGATCAAGCTGAAGTACCTTGGGCTGGAGATCATGCGTGACAGGCTGGCAAGGAAGCTGTGGCTGCACCAGCATTACGCAGACAAGCTGCGCAGGTGCTTCATTGACGAGGAGCAGTCCAGGCGCATCCCGAAGACGCAGGTCTCGGTCGACGCCTACGCCGAGCTGACATTCGACGAAGAGGAGGCGCAGGAGCGCCAGGAGGAGTACGGGCAGAAGGTTCGCTGCAGTTCGCAGTGACGACTGTTGGTGTAAGGGCCTAATAAAGTCAAACTAAAACCTCTCCTCAAGGTCACCTCAAAGGGTCCTTGAGTGCATGGTACAAGACCAGGCCCTATCCTCGGTTCCGAGTTTGTACAGAGAGGGATCAAGAATAACTTTGCCAAAATAGCAAGAGCACCTTGAACGTCGCGCAACATATCGTGCAAACCGTTGATCGGATTAAGCTGAGTATTTCCTTTATCGAAGCTCGCTCCAAGAGCTTTAAAATGAGCCAAGTTGCCTCGCGAAAAGTTCTGCCATTACGGAGTTATGGCTCGGACAGCATTTGGCCTAGCATTGGAGTGCTAGCATACTAGCGTTGACTCCGTAGCATTCTGCCGTCGAACCGTGTAGAAACGAAATTCCAGCAAGGGAAGAGTTTGCTTGAATTATCCAGGTACAAACAAAGAAGGAATAATCAGTTCTAGCTAGGAAGTACCCTGAGAATCAACTTGGGAACAACCAGGGATGATCCCGAATGATCAAGCAACAGAACCAACCTGGCTGGACAAACCAGTAGGTGGTAGGTTGGTAAACAACCTCTGGTTCTGTTTTTCCAACCTGGGAACCTAAAAACAGAACCTGTTTGTCCTTGCCCAACCAGCCAAATTATGGTTCTGCTTGTTTCCCCTAGCACTGTAGTATTCAGATATAGACAAACAACATCCAACCTTCACCTAAATTGTACCCCTATAGGTCCTGCCATGCTGCACTAAAGTCAACAACAATTCTGAGTTGGATAGAACTGAATCTGCGCAATCCATTATACTGAACTGCAAAGCTTCCATCTTGGGTTCCTTTGCAAGCCCGACCTTTCTGCTTGCACTGTTCTTAGCGTGTACAATGTCGTGCCGAAGCGCACATTGCGCGGGTACTTGCAAATGTTTCAAGCAGAAATTGCAAAAGCAAATAAACACACGAACACACCATTCACGCAAATGCACTCGCACACGTATACACGTACAAACAGAGGGCAGAATGTCGTGCAATGTGAATTTGCACCCAACAACAACGACAATGTCGGACATCGCGTTCGCCTGCAGCATGCTGGGGATCGGCCTCACGGTGAGGAGTGACCAGCACTCGCGGTGACGGCGTGCTGTGTGTGGGGTGCACGCCAAGGACAAGTTTTCTCCGTGGAGTACTGCCGTCTAGGCTGGGAGCCCACGCGTGAGCACGGCAGGGGAATGTTAACGAGAATGGAGTGTTGGCCCGGCCCTAGCTTGGGTAACGCCGACGTCCAGGTTGGATGACGGGAGAAGCAGCCGACCGTTCATAGTAAAGGAGCTGCTCGACGGGCTTTGTCGAGCTGCAGGGGATCACTGTGGTGTTGCCGTCAACCGGGGGTGCTCGACGGCTTCCTTCTGTGGGGCAGGTCGACGCGATGGTCGTCGACCTGCACAGGCCTGTCACAGGGCTGGAGCCGTCGACCAGTGATCTCGACAGCGGCAGCTGACTAGGCTGGTCGACGGACAGGCCGTCGACCAGGAGGAGCATTTCGACGGAGAGGTCGACGGTGGAGTCCGTCGACCTGACATGTGAACAGCAGTTGACAAGGGGAGCTCGGCAACAACAGCTGATAGAGCTGGTTGACGGAGGGGTCCGTCGACCAGGCAGTTGCTCAACGAAAGTTGTGGTCGATGAGGGAGTCGTCGACCGGAGCATTGGGTGGTCGACTAGGTCGACTGAGTAATTTTCTCGGCGAGTTCTGCGGAGGCACACGAACGTCGTTGAGGCCACAATGACGAAAGCGACTCTGGGCTCGTATCCCGAAGTCAAAGTGGCTCGTCAGGCGCAGACCACAGCCGAGAGATGCAAGTCGGGCGAACCGTCTGTACGCACCTGCATACGTGCGCACTGCTGTGCTCTACAGGTGCAACGCTGGGCAGCCGCTCTGCTGCAGCGTTGGTACGCCGTCGACTTGCTGCGTTGGCAGGTCGTTTCTGCAGTGCTGGAGCGGCTCCTCTGTGCAACGCTGGCAGGCGGTCGACCATGCAGTGCTGGCGATCGACCAGGCTAGCTGCAGAGTTGCTAGGTGCCTGATGTAATCATTTCTGTCATTGTCATTGCTATCATTGTGTGATATAATATTTGCCTAGTGAAAAATCTTGCCGATTGCTTTCGTGAATGTACAAGTGCTAAGGAACTACGCAAAGCTACAATCACTCATACAATTCAAGCCAACACACCGTAGTCTAGCTCAAGACTATCGTAGAGTGAATCTTCGTAGTGATTGGCTGAGGAGGCTGTTAGAGGAGATTGGCTAGGAGCAGAAGGTTGATATGCCGCTATTTTGTGAC